TATCTCACAGTCTTAAATTTCTTTCTTTTTTTTTTTTTAGTGAAAAGTGTTTATTAGGAGGAAAAGAGTACAGTTCGTGTGGATAGACACATGGGCAGAACCAGAGAGAGTCACTAAAACTCTTACTCAATTGTTTTTTTCTCACTATGGTTTCTCCTCATGTGAGAATGTATTTTGCTTAACTAATTGATTTCTCCATTCCCTTTTCCAGGGGATCTTCCAGACCCAGGGATCAAACCCAGGTCTTTCACATTGCAGGCAGATTCTTTGCTGTCTCAGCATACCAGGGAAACCCAATGAATTTCTAGAGAATTATTTTTAAAAAGAGAGCTTTCCAATTCTAGTCTTAAAAAGATGTGGGGCTCAATATTCCCTCCAGGTGGAATTACTGACTGGGAAATATTAATAGCTAACATCTAAGTTCAGAACCAACCAGGAGACTAGGGACACTTAGAAAGAAGGTATTAGCAAAGTGTGTTCCCAGGAAGGAGACAGAGCAGCTGTCATTAAAAGCAAAGATGCACTGCTACTTCCCAGGAACAAGGGCTAGACCTTGGGGAAAACTGGGGGATGTGTTGGCGTTAATAGGTCTGGAGAGACATTTCCAATGTGCAATATTTTTATTTTAGATTTTCTAGTTCTAAGATAAAACATCAATAGCAACTTAAATTCATACAGTGACAGGCTCTATTTTCTTGGGCTCCAAAATCACTGCTGACAGTGACTATAGCCATGAAATTAAAAGACGCTTGCTTCTTGGAAGAAAAGCTATGACAAACCTAGACACCATATTAAAAAGCAAAGACACCACCTTTCTGATAAAGGTCCATATAGTCAAAGCTATGGTTCTTCCAGTAGTCATGTACGGAGGTGAGAGTTGGACCATGACGAAGGGTGAGGGCCAAAGAATTGGTGCTTTCAAACTGTGGTGCTGGAGAAGACTCTTGAGAGTCCCTTGGACTGCAAGGAGATCAAACCGGTCAATCCTAAAAGAAATCAACCCTGAATATTCATTGGAAGGATGAATGCTGAAGCTCCAATACTTTGGCCACCTGAAATGAAGAGCTGACTCACTGGAAAAAGACCCTGATGCTGGAAAATACTGAAGGCAAGAGGAGAAGCAGGCAACAGAGGATGAGATGGCTAGATGGCATCACTGACTCAATGAGCTTGAGCAAATTCCTGAAAACTGGACAGGGAAGCCAGGTGTGCTGCAGTCCATGGGGTCTCAAAGAGTTGGACATGACTAAGCAACTGAACAAATGGTTTACAAACCTTCACACTTCATGATTATTTGCAAAAACCCTGCAAACTTTTTTTTTTTGGAGAAACGGCTCAGGGCTCAAAGTTATAAGGAGAAAGAATGAACTAAAAGTGTAGGTAAAAGACTTTCCATTCCTCCAGTTAAGCTCTGCAGTTCCTCTTGGAGAAGCATCAAAGGATGGAAAAAAGATCAGATGAGGAAGAAGCGCCCTCCTCACCTGGGCCCAGGCCATCTTCAATCTGTCTGAACTCAGAGAGAGGCTCTCAGGCACCTCACCTTGTCTTCTGCATCTGTTGAGCTAAATGCAGTAGGTATTTAGAGTGAGAATTCATTTGTCAGTTGAAGGTGTTTTCTAGAAGGAGACAGGCAGGGTCCAGGAGATGTAAAATGGGGCCAAGAGCACTGCAACCATAAATTCCAGTTTGCTTGGAACAGACCTAGTTTATGCCTGTTGTCCTAGCATAATAATTAGAGCACCCTTTCACTCTCAGATGTGTCCTGTCTGCATATTATATTATATGGTCAACACTAGCCTCTGGGACTTGACAAGGTGTCTCCCCGCTGCCCCGCCCCAGAATTGCTTTGACTGTTGCCCTGGGGTCATTGACAAGGTTGTTCTGGACTCAGCTTTCTCATTCTTAAGGTTAATGCTTCTAAAGGGCTAAATCTGCATCCGAGGAATGTTAAAGAAGTTAACTGTTTTAACCCTATTCACCTGTGGTTTATGGCTCTGCATAGGGCGTCAGGCAGTGACCCGTAATGAGCTCGCTGTTTGAAAATGAAAATCATCTGGGGAACTTGTTAAAAATAGAGATGCAAAGGCCCATGGCCTGAAATTGATTCAGCACATCTGAGAATCTATTTAAAAATGAGAAACAAAGCTTCCCAGGTGGTTTGAACACTGAAGCCAGATTTGAACCCACTGGTGAGTCATCATTCTTAAACCGCTGGCTGGAGTGGTCCCTTGTTGCTATGGAAACCACTGATCTACCCCTCAGCCAGACTGAATTTTCCTTTTTTTTTTTTTTTTAAGTACACATCTGTTTCAAAAATAGAGGACATTATTTCAGGGAGAGAAGAGTATTTTCTCTGTTAAGATTTAGAGAGGAAAAGCAAAGCTCCTAAAAGGCAGAAAAATTTCTAGCCTGAAACCAAATTCAGCAGAAAGCAGGCATCCCTCACTACTTTAGCAAGACAAGAAAGAACCAGAGAGCGGTTATTTTCTGAAGCAAGTTTCAGACTGTCTGGAGCATCCTTCAGGTTAGCTGTAAGGTACCCGACTGGAGGCTTGGGCTCACGGGCTTCCCCGGTGGTCGGAGGGGCTGATGGTGACCGGCCAAGATGGTATCAAGACTCAGGAGATTCCGGCTGGAGAGGGACCTGGAAAAGGATGGCCCTACAGAATTACCATCAGAATATAATTTACACACACTGCTGAGTGGCCAGGCGGCCTGCACTGAGCCACTCTGATAAATATACCACACTGATGCTCTATGTCTGAGCTGAGGAAAGAGCAGTAATTTGTCCTTTAGGTGAAGAAGCAGAGAAGATAGGGTGGAGGAAGGGGCCTGGAAGAAGGCTTCTATAAGCTTCATGTGGCCAAGCTGGCCTGATGAATTCAGAATTTAGCAATTCCGAGTTCTCTTTTCTTTCAGCTTAAACACAAAAGCATAAAACAATTGTATCTCAAATAGAATGATCTTGGAATTCACCTCTCTTTGTAAATTCTGATACATCTGAAGATAAAACAGCAGAATTTCCCCTCCAAAGATACTCCCTGGGATTCGCTGCTTTGCCAGCAACTATTGTACCAAGGTAGACAGGGACCCTCCAGGTACCAGCTGTAGAAGCAGCAAGACACTTCACTACGATTCTGAGTTACATAAGCAGTGGTCCTTTTCTGAAACAGGAATCATTCCCTTTTGGTTCTCCTATCTCCCTGCCAACCTATGTCTGCAGAACTCCCTGACTTTATGTGGATGGTACTTTTCAAACACTCAGCCCCGTGTGCTATATCTTTCTCCCAGAAATGCTCCTAAAGTGCTTCTCCCTGGACCTAGAAAACCCAGCTCAGTCCCTTGACCCAACTCACTGTCCACACACTCCATTCCACCATCCACTGGAAGCCCATGGAGCACCAAGATCAGTATTCAAAGTCCTTTTCCAAATCCTTTCAAAACTCTACCCTCTCTTTCCCCGAAACTCTCACATCACCATCTAGGACTCATAGCTTCCCTTTGCAAATACAACTCACCTCCCAACCACTGGGTCTCCCCAGACATAAGCATAACTATTTTCTCTCCATCCTCCACCAACTGTAGACCCCTACTCTACATCCGAGTTTGGGGGAAGTGATTTTTACATGGGCAATCTGCTGAATTTGCTCCACAAGTAAACGTCTACTAATTACATTTTTTAGGGTTGAGCACATACTGACACATGACAAGGAGAATGTGATGGAAGAAGCTGGGAAGGAACACAGAGGGCCTTTGAACAGGGCTGGGTGGAAAAGAGAAGGAAGTAATGACTTACATCACAATATCCCACAGATTTGTGTTTATTTCAAACCTCCTCTACTGTATGATATGTTTTTCTCTTTCTGACTTACTTCACTCTGTATAACAGGATCTAGGTTCACCCACCTCACTAGAACTGACTCAAATTCATTTTTTTATGGCTGAGTAAGATTCCGCTGTATATATCCACCACATCTTCTTTATCTGTTCATCTGTTGATGGACATCTAGGTTGCTTCCATGTCCTGGCTATTGTAAACAGTACTACGATGAACACTGGAGTACATGTATCTTTTAGAATTGTGGTTTTTTCAGGGTATATGCCCAGTAGGGGGTTTGCTGGGTCATAATGAATATATATGAAAACTAGAAAAATGGTATTGATAAACTGATTTTCAAGGAAGAAATGGAGATGAAGATGCAGAGAATGGACTTGTGGACACAGAGGGGTAGGGAAAGAGTAGGATAAATAGAGAAGGTAGCATCTATATATATATATATATATACACACACACACACACACTATCATGTGTAAAATGGATAGCTGGTGAGAAGTCACTGTATAACATAGGGAGCCCAGTCTGGTGCACGATGACCTATAAGGGTGGGGTGGGGAGAGGGGAGGCAGGCTCTAGAGGAAGGGAATATATGTATAATATGTATATGTATAATCATATGTATAATATGATTCAAGTTGTTGTATGGCAGAAACCAACACAACACTGTAAAAAAAAAATTTTTTTTTTAAACACTCTTCTACTCTAGTTACTGCTACTACACATATTGTCCTCCACATTTAAACCACTCAACTTATTCTAGGACCCTGGGTTCCTTCCCCTGGATCTTCAGGGTCATGTGAGCCTGGAGTGCACCTGCTCACTCAGGTAAGTCTCTGCACCTGTCTATTTAGGTGACTCTCCCAGTGCATGCTGGGAAATTGCAAAGAAGTGCCCCATCGCCTCCCCTACCCTCTTCTCTGTGTCCAAGTTTATGCTTCAAGTAACTTAGAAGTTCTTAACATGAGAACCACAGGTGAGCTTCAGGGGCTCTGGGAACCTCTTGGTATTGCATAGATCATTTCCATGTGTGTGTGTGCACGAGCATGCAGTTTTCTGAGGGTAATATTCACTCTTTATCCCCTCAGGTTTTCAAGGGTACCCCAGCTATACTTAGCCTGTGGGGATGAGTTACAGCCATGGTGGTCAGGTCCTGGCACGGTACCTTGGAAGCAGCCATCACCGCTGCCGTGGCCGCCACGTTCAAGCCTCGCTTCCCAAAGTGCACAAGGGCATCGTAACTTCGGTCTTTCGCTTGGACCAGGCAATCATCGATTTCCTGTCAAGGGAAAACAGACACTCTGAGTTGGAAGGCCCAGATAAACCTCCGTTCTTTCTCCCCTCTCCTGAGCTCTGAGCTTGGCAGCTTGCTCCATCACTGATTCTCACTGGCGCTGCCACTAATCGGCTGTCAGAGCTGGGTGAGTGCTTAGCCTCTACACATGGTTCTGTCTTCTGAGAAATGAGGACAGTGGTGGCACCTAACCTGTGGAGCATGATGAGAATTCATTGCTGTTGTTTAGTTACTAAGTCCTCTCTGACTCTTGTGACCCCAAGGACTGTAGCCCACCAGGCTCCTCTGTCCATAGGATTTCCCAAGCAAGAATACTGGAGTGGGTTGCCATCTTTCTCCAGGAGATTGTCCCAACCCAGGGATCGAACCCGTATCTCCTGCATTGGCAGGCATATTCTTTACTGCTGAGCCACCCCGGAAACCCCACGGTAAGGACTACATGCGCTCATTCCAGGAAAGCACCTGAACAGTGGTTGGTTTCAATGACCAAGAACCATTGTCATCTTCCTTATCTCAAGGTAAAGCCCCAGGATCTCTGAAATTCTATTATCTCATAGCAATTTCATACAATATTCAAATGCCTCCTCGTGTGTATGTTGATGGGAGAGATCAGAATGCAGAAACAGACAGGGGATATTTTTGTTGATAGAGGAGATCATTTTACAGATAATTAAATAAAAACAGAAATCAGAAGTCAACTACAAGGTAAAGGTGAGGTGGGAGAGAGGATTGAGGTCTACTTAGGGACCAAAAGCAAGTCAAAGATTGGTTTAGTTCAAATTTGGATCAGTGCTGGCTCATTCTTTTTGTTGTGTTTGGGTTGCTGTTATCATAGTTTTAAGAAAACAGCCATTCTGTAATCATAGGAGCAGAGTTCAGTCAATGACACTTGGCCTCTGTCTCATCTGAAGTTCAGCACATTGGTGCACTTCCTTCACTTTGAGGCATACAGGTGGGCATTCGACACCCTGCCTGGTCCTTGTTTAAAATTCCTCAGGAAGTCACAACACTCAGTTTCCATTGTGACCCCTGGCTGACTCTGGATGTGATTCGTGGCAGCTCTTAAGAGTCAGTCACCTTCGCGTCAATGGAAATGACATTAGTGGCTTCAGGGTTAAGTCCGGTGTTAAGAGAAAGGGAAGTAGGAAGAGTAGAGATTTGATAATGAGGTGGAGGCAGGGATTATTGTTTCTCAAATTTTACCCTCTGAGACAGTAAGTGTTGTGTCCTAGTTTCTAAAGGGCATCTCAGAAATGGCTACAGTAACCTGTACCTCCAACTGATGTACTCAAAGCCTTGCCCTGGAAATCCAAAGTGTCCAACTTTCAGAAGCAACAGAAACAAATATATCAAGCCACCTATAGTGAAAAAGTTGGCTTAAAGCTCAACATGCAGAAAACAAAGATCATGGCATCTGGTCACATCAATTCATGGCAAATAGATGGAGAAACAGTGGAAATAGTGGCAGACTTTAGTTTTTTGGGTTCCAGAATTGCTACAGATGGTGACTGCAGCCATGAAATAAAAAGATGCTTGCTCCTTGGAAGAAAAGTTATGACCAACCTAGACAGCATATTAAAAAGCAGAGACATTACTTTGCCAATAATGTTCCATCTAGTCAAGGCTATGGTTTTTCCAGTAATCATGTATGGATGTGAGACTTGGACTATAAAGAAAGCTGAGCACCGAAGAATTGATGCTTTTGAACTGTAGCATTGAAGAAGGCTCTTGAGAGTCCCTTGGACTGTAAAGAGATCCAACCAGTCCATCCTAAAGGAGATCAGTCCTGAATGTTCATTGGAAGGACTGATGTTGAAGCTGAAACTCCAATACTTTGGTCACCTGATGCGAAGAGCTGACTCATTTGAAAAGACTCTGATGCTGGGAAAGATTGAAGGCGAGAGAAGACGGGGACGATGGAGGATGAGATGGTTGGGTGGCATCACTGACTCAATGGACATTAGTCTGAGTAAACTCTGGGAGTTGGTGATGGACAGGGAAGCCTGGCGTGCTGCAGTCCATGGGGTTGCAAAGAGCTGGACACAACTGAGCAAATGAACTGAACTGATAGCGTTCTTAATTCATATGGTAGAATCTCACCACACAACCAGTTCGGAAAGTCATATATCATTAACAAAATATAGAATGCTGGACCCAATAATCCCACTCTCAAGAATTTATTCTAAGACAAGTAGTCAATAGAACTTGACTGTATACTATGTGTGGTGATGTTTGTGGGTCCTTATGAAGAACAAGTAGAAAAGATGGTATACAAACATGTTTAAGATTTCAGAAGACAAGTAATGCATCTGTTCAGTTTTTTGTAGTTATTGCTTTTTGGTTTTGATTTGGTTTTTTGGTGTGTGTGTGTGTATGCTTAACATTTTATTTTAAGGAAACATTACATAGAGTGGATTGAATGAAAAAAGGAGCTACCAAACAAATTAATAAGACAGAGGTCATTTATTTTAATGGTCTCTGCGTCTATTATTTCCCCTAGTGTCTCAGTGGTAAAGAATCCACCTGCCAATGCAGGAGACACAGGAGATGTGGGTTTGATCCCTGGATTGGAAAGATCCTCTGGAGGAGGAAATGGCAACCCACTCCAATATCCTTGCCTGGGAAATCCCATGGACAGAGGAGCATGGCAGGCCACAGTAGGACATGACTTAGCAACTTAGCATGCACGTGTCTCTTATTGTATGAAATCTCAACAAAACCATGGAACAATCCATTGAAAACAAATCTGGCAAATTAGGTTCAGTGGAGATGTTAAACAAAAAGTAATTTTATAGACAGTGACATTATCTTAAAAGTAGCTTAAATTTCTTTTCAAGAGGTATACGTTGTAATTGCTCCTTGAATCCTTAGTTACTGTTGACTCCTTCCTGCAATTTCTCCCTATCTTATTTTTTCCATATCTGACATTAGACAAATCTACATTTTCATTTCAAGGATGTATGTGAAGCAAAACTTTGAAGCAAAACACAAAAGGTAAATAGCTTGAAACAAATTATTATGTCTATTCCCACTACCACACTTATCAACTGATAACTTATAAAGTAAAAAAAAAGCAGGTATTTCATGTGTAGCATACATTTTATCATTGATCAATAAAGCAAATGTACTAGAAATTTATTATATTCCAGTCTCTGTTGCAGCTATCCAGGCACAAATTCAAGTCTTTTCATCTCTCTAGGCTTCAACTTTCCTGTTTATGTTAGGTTTTTAAAAATTTATTATTTTTATCTTTAAAATTTGTTATTTTTATTTTTTTGCCTGTGCTGAGTCTTGGTTGCTGCTCAGGCTTTTCTCTAGTTGCAGACAGCGGGGGGCTACTCTGTAGTTGTGGTATGTGGGCTTCTCACTGCAGTGGCGTCTCTTGCTATAGAGCACGAGCTCTAGGGCGAGCAGGCTTTGATAACTGCGGCACGTGAGCTCAGTAGTTGTGGCTCCTGGGCTCAAGAGCACAAATTCAGTAGTTAAGGTGCATGGGCTTAGCTGCTCCTCAGTATGTAGGATCCTCCCAGACCAGGGATCAAACCTGTGTCTCCTGCACTGGCAGGCAGATTCTTTACTACTGAGCCAGCAGGGAAGCCCTGTACTAAGTTTTAAAAGTATTTTTTAGTAGTATATATGAAAATTCCATCTGCAAAAGGACAGGCACTGAGCCTGATGAAAGGAAAGAAATTCAGTTTGGGGAGTTGAATTATGAGTGAATTTTTTTCTGTCTTTTGTTTCAATGCATGGAAATGTTGAATAATATGCTTTTGAGAATTGCACCAGGTCATAAAAATAGACTTAAAAGAGAAAGATTAGAAGGAACAATTTTCGGGTAGGGGGCAAATAAGTCAATCAAGAGTCTCCTTCAATAAAATCACATGTCTTTTTAAAAAAAAATCACTTAAAAATTTTTTTTTCACTCGCTGGAAGGAGTGAAAGGCAAAACAACACAAATTACCTTTTCTTTTGAAGACAGCGTGGGATGTACAAACTTCCTGTAGAGGAGGCTGGAGCCTTTTGTGTAGGGAGACAGCAGCCAGGCTACAAATGCTATTTTTAGTTCATAATAGAATGGAAACCTGGAGAGAGATGAGAAAAATACACATTCCATTAGGTTTTCAGCACTCTGCCCTGAGTCTACAAAAGACAGAACCTGGGAGCACAGATAGCTCTCCTGCCTGCACACAGCCTGGTCCTCGGATTCCCATGAGCGTGTGTGCACACACGCACGTCCAAGGTACAAGTCCAGGGCCTCTTTTGAAAACCAGTTCCTTTTCTGTGTATGTGTGACCTCAATATGAGGCTTGTAGGACCTTAGTTCCCTGACCAGGAATTGAACCCAGGCACCTAGCAGTGAAAGCACAGCATCCTATCTATGGGACCAGCAGGGAGTTCACAAAGCCCATTCACGTTTTCTTTTGTTGTCAAACAAGCTAGGGACCCAGGGTCTCTCAGCAGTCACTCTATGACTGTGCCTGACAACAACTGGCGCTTTCTGCCAGGCTCTGTTCACTTCGGCTGGAGCCGGAGCTCCTGCAGGCCCAGATGCCACAGCCACTCTTGCCTGAGTTCCCAGTCATTCACTCTTTCCTGGAGGCCGAGAAGGGGCAAACGCCTGGAGGATTCACAGCAGAGCAGAGCTGACAAAGAATCTCCACTTTGAATAAAGCCTCTGTTCCTTGGCTGTCTTCTTAGTCCCCAAACAGGCCGGACAGGAGCCCAACTCTTGCAGGAAAGAGGATGCTACTTACCCTGCTCAAACCAACAGCAGACTTGGGGGAAGGGGGCAGGGAATAGAATATAAATAGTAAAATACAAAAAAGCCTGGCATGCTGCAGTCCATGGGGTCACAAAGAGTTGGACACGACTAAGCAACTGAACAAGTACAATATATATAACTGCTTTATATACATATACTTATATATATACATGTATGTATATATATACTCCCTGAGAATCCCTTGGACAGCAAGGACACCAAACCAGTCCATCGTAAAGGAAATCAGTCCTGAATATTCATTGGAAGGACTGATGTTGAAACTGATGTTGAAATATTTTGGCCACCTGATGCGAAGAACTGACTCATTTGGAAAGACCCTGATGCTGGGAAAGACTGAAGGCAGGAGGAGAAGGGGACGACAGAGGATGAGATGATTGGATGGCATCACTGACTCGATGGACATGAGCTGGAGTAGGCTCCGGGAGTTGGTGATGGACAGGGAAGCCTGGAGTGCTACCGTCCATGGGATCACAAAGAGTCAGACACAACTGAGCGACTGAACTGAACATATACATATAGTTTCAGGTGCACAACAAAGTGACTCAGCTGTACACCCAACACTAACACATCATTGTAAATCAACTATGCGTGCGTGCTAAGTCATTTCAGTCATGTCCAATTCTTTGCCACCCCATGGACTCTAGCCTGCCAGGCTCCTCTTTCCATGGGGTTTTCTAGGCAAGAATACTGGAGTGGGTTCCCATGCCCTCCTCCAGGGGATCTTCCCAAGCCAGGGATCAAACCCTTGTCTCATATATCTCCTGCTTTGGCAGGTGGGTTCTTTACCACTACCGCCACCTATACTTCAATAGAAAAAAAAAAAACTAAAGTTTAAAAACCAACAGCAGGCAAAAAGGTTTTGATCATTTTGGTGCCAAAAGAAAGAAGAGTTCAAGGTACAGATAAAATATAACTCTGAACTTTAAAGTCCTGGGTACTACTCACTGATGTATCCCATGAACACTTCGCCAGCACCCATATGTGGCAGTTGGTGCTGGGCACCAAGAGGACACTTGGTCGGGGAACGAAGAAGCTCCTGTTCTCTTGGAGCTTCCAGTCTACCAGGAAACACAGACAAGGTTCTGGCATCCTCGGGACCGACAGTCCAGTCAAGGCAACAGAGATTGCTCAAATCAAGACAATTAGTATAGAATAACATCCTGAGACAAGCACCATCAAGGGTCTCTGTTAACCCATGTGGTACTTCTGCATGTGTGAGAAAAAGCCTAGCCCTTCGACTGGATGCAGTCCTGTGAGCATATGACTTGCAAACAGGGCTTCATCTGAATTTCAGCTCCACTGGCCAGGTATCTTGTGCTATGAACAACCTGTGCAACCATTCTTGGCAGGTCAAATGGGTATTAACCAGGTCTTTTTATTTTCTATATTCTGCTGCTTTGCCATCTTGGGACCTTGCTGATGGAAAGGCTGCCTCTCTCATGGACACCACAATACAGGCTCCTGCCCCCACTTCCTTCCTCTGCTTCCTGATCTGCCCTGTGTGACTCTGCATGGTATACTGTGCCTCTAGGGATCTGTGTATCTTTTTAAAAATATTTATTTATTTATTATATATTTGACTGTACTAGGTCTTCACTGTGGCACACAGGATCTTCAGTTGCAGCATGTCGACTCTTAGTTGCTGCATGTGGGATCTAGTTGCCTGACTGGGGATTGAACCCAGGATCCCCACCCTGAGAGTGTGGACTCTTAGCCACTGAATCACCAAGGAAGTCCCTTGGGATCTGTGAAGTTAACGAACTTACTCCTTCATGACAGTCATTTCTGTGTCTGCATGTCTTGTGCTATGCTGTGCTTAGCTGCTCAGTCATGTCTAACTCTTTGTGATGCCATGGACTGTAGCACACCAGGGTCCTCTGTCCATGGGGATTCTCCAGGCAAGAATACTGGAGTGGGTTGCCACGCCCTCCTCCAGGAGATCTTCCCAACCCATGGATCAAACCCAGGTCTCCTGCACTGCAAGCAGATTCTTTACCATCTGAGCTACCAGGGAAGCCCAAGAATACTGAGGTGGGTAGACTATCCATTCTCTAGGCGAACTTACCAACCCAGGAATCAAACCAGGGCCTCCTGCATTGCAGGAGGATTCCTTACCAACTGAGCCACCAGGGAAGCCCCTCTGCACGTCTTACCAGACTTAAAAACAAATCCTGGGTACAATTCAAACATGATGCTGTGAGGGAACATGACACCTGGGCAGGTCTGAGGCATCGGAAAAGTGAAGCCCTTCCAGGCCATCCTCGTGATAAGAGAGCAAACACAAACAGTAATTTCTAAGAAGACATTTCAAAGGTCTTTAACTCTCACATCACTCCAGACAGCAGCTCCACCCACCCCTTCTTTCCCCATCCTAATCCACTGCCTTCTGCTCCTGGCAGGCCCTTCCTGAACATTCCCCTAGCAACTAAAGGACACTTTCATGTCAATATCATTTAATGCTTCACAGCCAGAAAAGAGAAGGAGCTGAAGGAACAAAGATGTGATCCCCTCGTATTTAAACACTCTGATGATTAACAGTGGAGGAAATCTGGTCTTGGAAACAAGTATTCATCAGCCCCAAGGGGCAAATGAGCCTGGCAAGCTCAGGCACCAATCCAAGATACACAGATAATCCTAGGGGGAATCTGTCACACTGTGGCTGTTTTGTTTATTATGTAAGAGATGTGTGTGTGTGTGTGTGTGTGTGTGTGTGTGTGTGTTTAATAGGTTGTGTGTGCACATAGTTTAAAAGATTCTAGAAGTCCAAATGGGGACATAACAGAGTCTCTTTCCCATCTTGGACCCTTTTCCAAAAGCACAAAAGCATCATCAGTTTCTTGTAGATCCTTCCAGAAGTGGACTAGGGCTCAGATGTACAATCATGTGGGCATGTAGGACACCTGCAATGCTCCCTACACTGACTTAGTGGCATTCTCTGCTCCCTCCCCTTCACATCACACCTTGCTTTCCCCGCCACACACACGATTAACAGTACACTCTGGTGGCTTCAGCAACACATGAACCGTCAACTTCCAGATGTTCAAGCTGGTTTTAGACAAGGCAGAGGAACCAGAGAGCAAATTGCCAACATCCACTGGATCATCAAAAAAGCAAGAGAGTTTCAAAAAACCCATCTATTTCTGCTTTACTGACTATGCCAAAGCCTTTGACTGTGTGGATCACAACAAACTGTGGGAAATTCTGAAAGAGATGGGAATACCAGACCACCTGACCTGCCTCTTGAGAAAGCTATATACAGGTCAGGAAGCAACAGTTAGAACTGGACATGGAACAACAGACTGGTTCCAAATAGGAAAAGGAGTACACCGAGGCTGTATATTGTCACCCTGCTTATTTAACTTATATGCAGAGTACATCATGAGAAATGCTGGGCTGGATGAAGCACAAGCTGAGATTAAGATTGCTGGGAGAAATATCAATAACCTCAGATATGCAGATGATACCACCCTTATAGTAGGTATACTTTCTTATAGCAGAAAGTGAAGAAGAACTAAAAAGCCTCTTGATGAAAGTGAAAGAGGAGAGTGAAAAATTTGGCATAAAGCTCAACATTCAGAAAACTAAGACCATGGCATCTGGTCCCATCACTTCATAGCAAATAGATGGGGAAATAGTGGAAACAGTGACTGACTTTATTTTTTGGGGCTCCAAAATCACTGCAGATGGCGATTGCAGCCATGAAATTAAAAGACGCTTACTCCTTGGAAGGAAAGTTATGACCAATCATGATAGCATATATAAAAAGCAGAGACATTACTTTGTCAACAAAGGTCCGTCTAGTCAAGGCTATGGTTTTTCCAATGGTCATGTATCGATGTGAGAGTTGGACTATAAAGAAAGCTGAGTGCCGAAGAATTGATGCTTTTGAACTGTGGTGTTGAAGAAGACTCTTGAGTCCCTTGGACTGCAAGGAGATCCAATCAGTCCATCCTAAAGGAGATCAGTCCTGGGTGTTCATTGGAAGGACTGATGTTGAAGCTGAAACTCCGATACTTTGGCCACCTCATTCGAAGAGCTGACTCACTGGAAGAGACCCTGATGCTGGGAGGGACTGGGGGCAGGAGGAGAAGGGGACGATGGAGGATGAGATGGTTGGATGGCAATGGACATGGGTTTGGGTGGACTCTGGGAGTTGGTGATGGACAGGGAGGCCTGGCATGCTGCGGTTCATGGGGTTGTAAAGAGTCGGACATGACTGAGTGACTGAACTGAAATGAACTGGAAATTTTCTCATACCAGTACATGGAAAGTGGTTTCTCTCTCTCTCTCTCTCTTTTT